AAAAGTGATTATTTACCTCATAATTGTTTTTATTTAGTTGAAATTAATACAAAATATTCAACGAAATGATTTAGAATTGATTATATACTAAAGAGCGACGTGTAAGTTTTATTTCTCAAATATCATTGACCTTTATCGCATAAAAACGTTAATAAATTAATTAAATCGATAAGAAGGAAGAAACTCAAAACTTTTCTTCAAGGACAATACTTATCTTACGAAATTATTGAATCATAAATAACTGAGTCTGATGAGGGAATCTCGTTTCCCTCCTTGAAGTTTATAAACTCGATAATCCTAGGACAACGGTAATTGAGGTCCGAGGACGGGGAAACTTTCAAAAATGGATCCAGCTTCGCTAGTGTTTGCAAATCGTTTAATCGTTGATTAAATCATATGCAAAAGTTGGTCCTCGGTTTATATCGCCCTGGAAGCCCCACTCGAAGTCCGCCGGCCGCTGTTTGCGAATTTAAGACCGCTCAAGGGACTTAATGCTCCCTAACTGGGTAACTAGCGTCGTTAATAGTGAGCCGACACCAGTTAACATTTGTTTCGGCCTGTCCCGAAAGCGCTTTTTACCCGGACCGTCCGGGCTTAGGAGAAAGTTAAACGAGCCGTTCAGAACCCCTTTCTTTATTGCTGTATCAAATTGTTTTTAAAACGTGTCCGGTACTGGCTAACAAAGTTTCCAACCGACTTAAATTCTGGTATACTCGCTCCACCGTCGTCGAGCCAAATTTGTATACACAGCAAGAGATTTATTAGACCCAAATAACTGGAGGGAACTTTTTATAAGGAGAACTTGCTCCCTGATTTTTTCGCAAAATATTTCATTATGGGTGGTTTTAGACCACAATAAACTAACTTTGAGCTGTATATTTATTTATACTGAATATTTATTTTTGACAAATAGAATATTTGCTTACTGAGTACTGTATTATATGAGTGTCAATCAGATTTTTTCTTTAGCAATTAAGGCGATTTAATTTATGGTCGATGGGGTACTCAATATTTCACCATAGGCCCGCTCACACTACACATTCACGCCAATGAACACATTCACTATCGACACATCCTAGAGACACCAAAATTATATATAATAAAATAACACTGTTTCCTCCAATAATCGGAACAGGAGACCCAATACTCGCTGCCGTGTTCAAGCAGGATTCTCATATCAGGTGGCATTCCTACACGCACTCTATAAGTAGCCAATAAATTACTCTCTTCCGCTATGTGGAAATATCGAGCAACGTACCTTCTATACTGAATACCTATACATGAACGATATACTCGCGGGATTTGGCCCAAAAATAAGTGACCGTGTGTGAACCTCGCACGACCTATTATTCTCAATGGGGTGTTGATGACTCCTCGTACGAGTCTGGTCTTCCGAGGGCCACTCATCTACATCTCGAACCTGAGAGTTTCTTTCCAGGTCCGGCCCACCGACGATGCCACTTTCTTTTAATGGTGTTTTTATTGCGCTTTTAGCGTTAGACGGCCGGATCGCGGTGGTTAAGATCTTAAGTATTGCCTTAACTTTTAAACTATTATTAATAATCTAAAAATATGAACATCTGTTTGCTATATTGAAACTTTAGTTAATACATTTAAAACTTTAATACAAATTGTGTGATACATTTACAGTAAACAAGCTCAAATTTGTCCATTTTACATCATTTATTCACATTGAAAATATCAAACTTCACCCGTCCATTCTACAAATTAAAAGATAAATACAACCTACATCCCGTTATCCTATACAGTATACAGTCAATACACTTACTTATTTACCGAAAATTTACGATAATAATATCAGTAAGTCAAAGTTTATGAATATTGCCTTAAAATGAAGTTTTTTCGGAGGATCTACGGAAGAGGTGAACACAGAGAAAAACTTCCTTTCGGTTTTCGCCGAGCTTTCGACAGTTTTTTTTATACTGTCATCTTCAGGGCCTGTTTTATTATCATATAAAAAAAAAATTAAAAACATGAAAAAACAAATTGCACAAAAATTGAAATATCTTACTTAAACCTTAATGGGGAAATAAAAAGACATGGTGTTTCGGGCACAGAAGTACATTGCGATTTTTTTTTTTTGGTGCTCAGCATCTAAACATTATTTAAATTGAATAAATTAATAATTAAAAATTACAACTATAAGTACAATAAAAATTAAAAAACGTGGTCGAGAAAAGGTTACTTCATAAAAGTCTAAAAAACTAGTAAAAACCTTATTTTTTTTGTTTTCAGGTACATGCGATCACAGTGTGTTTCTTATACATACATATATACAATTAACTTATCTTACATTTAAATTACTTTACATTAATTTCACAGATCAAAAAAACAACAAACCCTCTTCAACGAGAGGAACAAAGGCTACGGGAAACGATCCCCGACAGAATGATGGCAACAAACTCGTTTTCTCTCCCCTGGTTAACAGATTCCGCTACAAGGGCGACGTTCTTTTTTCCCTACTTTGCTTTAAATTTTTGTATTCGTTTAGGAGGCCTGCATAGACCGAAATGGAGCCCAACCTATCGGTTTGTAGATTACAAGTATTTGGGGTGACACTGATATATACTTTTTCGTTCAGTAATCTCCTTTCCAAGTTCGACTCCCCGGACAAGATTTTCGGGGAGTCGAACTTGAAAAAGTGATTACTGTTTAACGCATGGGTAGCAAGTCCCGATATATTTTTCTTATTGTCGCAATCCAACCTGTGTTGGTTCAACCGTGCAGACAATTTTTGCTTTGTTTGACCTACATAGTTGACATTGCATTCCCCACACGACATCTGATATACCACATTGCAAAGTGATCCGATTGGTTCTTTTGTTTTTAGATTTGCATGTAATATATTTAGGTTGTTCTTATACTATAGCAATTTCTACATCCCCAACTTTGTGCTTGAAGAGCGTTTTTAATTTTTGGGACACTTCAGGTATATACGTGATAGACCTGAAAAAAGTAGGTTTTGCCGGTGTTTACTATTTCGATTTGTTGTACAATCGCATTTTGGTTTGGAAATTCATTTTCAACATTTACAGAGTTATTTTCCATTTCGACATTGACATTATTTACATTAAATTGACAATGCTTAAATTCAGTAATTAGTTTGTTGATTATTGCATCCTCCGAAAAAACTTCATGTTTCCAGCAGGTCGATAACCCAGCTCATCGTTACATTGCCTTAAAAGTTTATAAATAAAAGAAATTTTAAAGACGTATGATGTATATACGAAATTTACGTTTTCATGAATTTCTCCGCAATTTTTTGTACTCAAAACTACTTCCTTGCTATTATTTGCACTGTACGCATTATTAATGCTGTTTAGAATTTTTATTTGAAAAGTTCTATTACCATAACTTTGAATCTATTCTTTCTAATCTACAAATATATATATTCGTTTTGAAATGAATGTCTATTTTTATGTATCTATTATATAACATCTATGAATTTACGATATTTTAATTTTTGGTTTCAATTATAATGATATCATGACCCGTATATTCTATATGGCAAATATAACCTACATCAGTTTATCTGATATAAACAGCTAAAATACTTGCCAATTTACTCTAAATTTGCAATAATAATAATGTCCATTATATTTAGTGGTCTAATTGACCAAACTACTTCTTTCAATTAATTGTACCTTGTATGTAAGGTCTTGGTTGAAATGAAAAAGTCAGTATCACGAGCAGGATTCGAACCCACTAGCCGAAAGTCGTGGGTTCGAATTCCGCTCGTGACACTAACTTTTCCATTTCAACCAAGACCTTACATACAAAGAATAATTAATTGAAATAAATGATAATATTGTCAATGATGTACTGTGAAACTTCCCTGTAACGGACCCTAGCCAGGAAAGAAATATTGTCCGTTGTACAGAAATTTCCGTTTTTTAGGAGATGAGTGAAAAAACGTTTAACATTTAAAGGTGGGCCATAAACAATATTTAAATTAATATTTACTTGCAAAAGTTTTTGTTAAACAAGAAATAATGTAAAAAATGTTGCTTCAAAGTTGCTAAGGTATGAAAACAAAATTGTAATGAGTAATTTTCGATTTTTTTCTCTTAATTAAAAATTTTATTTTCAATGATTGACTGAATTTTCTTAGACTGTCTGAAATTGAACTTTCGGATGGAATACTTTGCGGCGAAGTACCGCACTTTTTGCGTATATGTACATTTTCGGGTGGCTGCTATACGCTTTTGGGAGAGTTTTAGAGTCAGAATATAGTCGAAAAAGCTGTTCGCGTCCATTATTGGGAGGGTCTGTTTTGCATAAGGTTTTGATGTGAACAAAGCAATAGGAAGAAATCACAATTTGCCCCTTCACGGGAGATGTCCGTTAAGGGGAGTATGATATAAGAAGCAATCGATCGGAAAATTCTCAGTTCAAAACAAATAATATGATCTGTCCGGGACACTTTTTGGGTTTCTGCAATGAGCTTTAAATCTAAGATCTCAAATATAAAATTCCATCTTTAAGACTTTTAGATGTAAAAGTCGCAGATGGTGTAATTTCAGGACAGAAATATGACGAATTTGTTTTTGTTCCATACAAAACGCAGACGAATTTTCAACTAAATAAATTTAAAAAAATTAAAATTGCTGAACACGAGTCATTGGAATAATTTTTTAAACAAAAATAAGCAGCTTATTTCAAACCGGAGACAGTTTCTGCATTAAATAATAAGTCCACTATCAATCTTTATATTAGTTTATGTATATTAATATAGTAAAACTTGCATCCTATGAAAAACTGATAATTAAACGTCCAGTTTCTAGCATTATGTGAAAATACTTATACTCAGGATGGGTATAAAAAGAAACTCCAAATTTTCCGTGGTTGAAAATTTATTCCAATTTTTTTAAATTATATTGTCGCTTCGGGCTCAATGGCATACTTATACCCGCTTTACATATCTCATGTAATTTCTCAAGATTTTTGTACTAATTACTGTTTTTGTTTATGTTTTTTAGCTGCATGGCCTAAGGCGGTTGATGATGGGTGATGGTGAAGACCCGATGGCACCTTTAGGCAACAACTATCGGCCACCGCAGCCGTTGCACCACCGGCCTCTGAGAACCAACATCGATTTTAACGTTAAGCAGGTAATCTATCACACCACGGCCCATTATATTTGTATTACTTTATTGCATATTTGTAAAGAGGCGTCGGTTATAATATTTCACCTCGACCCAGAACCCTTTCCCGTAATGAAATTGTTTTCGAATATGGATATTTCTCTGTCATGCAATGAAAAACTAGTGTTTTTTGCTAAGAGGAAAAAATTCAAATGACTACCCAATGAACAACAACTCAACTTGTATTGTACATGCAATAAATAAGTAAATAAATACTGAATTTCAGTGCCGAATATCCTGTTATTTAGTTGTTTAACCAAAGATGAATCTATCAAAGTGCAAGTAATAAAAAAATGACTATTGATAAACCCCAGACAAACAAGACATAAAATATATTACTAATGTTTTACGATTACTATACTACGTCGTGAGATGTCCTCTAGTGGCGGAGAGATGAATCTGTAATTTGGCCGTTACAGATCATTTTGGTCTGCTTCATGAGTTCGTCCGTCTGACATACTGAAGACGGCGAATGTCGAAATGCGTCTGACAGACCAACCAAGCGAGTTTGGCAGATCAAAATTATCCAACAACAACCACAATACAAATTGTTGAATAACGTTAAATTGTTGCTATTTAGGACATGTTTTCAACATTTTACTGTTTACATGTATACTTAATAAAGCTTTTTTAATAAAAAGTTAGCTCTTATTTTTTAATGAAATGTAAATCTTCATTCACCATTTCGGGTTGTTTTACGAATAAAAGCTGTCTTTTCTCCTTTTTCTTCAACTTCTACTGGATGGATTTTGATTTTGATTTCTTCTTGAGAAGAGCCTTCTGTGTGCGTAACTAATTCTTAAATTTACCGTAGTTCAATAATTTTTCAAAGTCATTTGTTATTCAAATAAATGCTAAAAGTGATTTTATGAAAAACTATTTCATCTATTATTTTTTATAATTTTTTTCTTAGTATACTAAGAATTCTTAGCTTATGTATCAAAAAAAAATTTTTTGTTTTTTGTTTCTTTTCTTCTGAATGTTTTTTGAAACAATTGCAAGCTACGGTATGTGTTCTACATAAATAAAAAATAATTGTCTCAAAGCAAAATATTATTGGGGAAAAGTGAACTGAAAAGTGAAAAATTACGTCTTTTTGGGAGAATGTTTATTCTAATCGAGCTCGAATTTTTCCCGTTGTCTCCGAATTTACACTATAAAACCAGCTAGATGTAGATAGATGATGTTTTAGTAGCGAAAGTAGTTTTTGACACAGAACAAATATGTATAAAATATGAGAGTCTTCCAACAACTTAAGGGATGCGAGCTGCAAGTTCTTCAGGGCAATGTACACCAAAACTTGGAAAATATTATTTCCTCCACTTATTAAGCTTGGAAACCCAGGGAACATGTTTAATTCTGTGGAAAATGTGTGTAGATTAATTTTTTGAAATATTTATATTGTATTTATATATTATAACCGTGCATACTTTGTTAGGTATCTTGATCTGCATTTTCTTGACTGATTGGCAATTAAGAAAAAAAATTATAGAAACGAACCAACAGCAACTTCTTTTTAGATCATGATACTCAATGTGTGCATGCATGCTGTTATTTTGAAATATATTATTTTTATTACTATTCATAATTATTGAACGATAGATAAATCGCAAGGATCATAAGTGATTTTGTATGTTGAAAATCTGCCCTCGAGTTTTTCAGCTGAACGCTTATAATTCGAACATAGCTCGTATTTTGAGAGAAAGGGGGAAAACGATAATACAAAGTTTTTTGGGGTGGAGCGCGTGTACATCCCTTGGAATCGTTGTAACATCCCTTAAGTTTTGGGGCGGATCTTGCAAGGAAAATATAACCGGATTAAAGCCGTCTGAAACTTCTCCCTACTTAATATAAACAAGCTTGTTTTTTGTACTGTGGCTCTTGTAATCACGGTAGGCGTTTGAATCGGGCGGCTGTGTAAAATCGTGTTTTAATTTAATTATTAATCGCATATTAAAATACATTTTGCTAATTTGAGCGACGGAACGCTTGTGGCCATTTGGATACAAATAAAGTGATGTTTTAGCGAAATCTTATAGTAATTCAATAACTATAACAGATATTTATTTTATTTTCAATTGACAAATGTGCTCTGTAATATTTAAAAAATATCGTAGCCATTCTTGCTATCTCCATCACACAAAGCAAAAAATAATCTTTGTCTGGGAGGATCTGGCAATTTATAAAATATAAGATTAATTTTAATCACGTAATATAATAACAGAAACATGTTTCAGGTTTGTTTTGTTGTTAAATATTTTCATACCGGCAGCGATTAAAATTAGATAAACCGCAACGTATAAAAAGGTATAATACAAAATATAAGCACAATTCATTTAAAGTAGAATTTTATGCACACAAAAAAACATGCGGCTACTAAACCTACGCTGTATTTATTTTTTCGAAAATTCAAACAATAATCAGAATCGTCGTATTGTTACACGTTGCATAAGCTGTTTTATTTATTTTTTTTACTCAATTTCAAATCATCCAGTTCCAAGGTTTTTCAATGACAACATTCCATAATTCACATTTTTCACGTTTTGCGGATTATTCACTTATTTCAAAAATACATATTCTTTTAATACTAAGGTTTATCGGATCGTATAATTTACTAATAATCAGCATATATTAAATACAAGATAGTCTGATGTGTAGTGTTAGATGGATCGACTACTTTTTTTAAATACGAATAATCTGGATCTACGTACGGTAAATGAACGAAAACCAAATTCAAGTATTTTTTGCCAAGCTTAAGGTCATCATCAGAGCCGATACGTAGTGATAATGCACGGGGGAAATTAAATTACGAAATAGCTAAATTGTTTTCAGGGGAACTTTCAACAATATTCAATCCACATTTTCCAGAATCCTCGGCAGAACATCGAACATGACTTAATATCACCATGCAACTCTCTCCTTCCCATAAAGCATTTACTCCATCAAATATAAGACCTCCGTAAACGACAGAAGTGTGTTACTGCCGCAGCGTTGGTGTAGAGGCAGCTCAGCCCCGAGGGGCCAAGACAACCTCGCCACCGCTTTCCCATTCCGAGTGGTCGGGTCCGCATTAAGCATCGAACCGTATGCCGCGCGCCAAGGGCTACCTAAGCTGAAATACATCAGCCTGGTCTCCCGCGCACTCCCTAGATAGTGAAGGCCACTCTATCTCTCAGAATATTGAGGCTCCTCCAGCGTAGAAACTTCCGGATCCGCTCCAGCCGCGGTTTCGCTTAGAGTGGAATTGCTAACCACCCCCTAGAGGAGACTGTTTAAGGTAAAAGCCTCCAATCGAGGTCAGCCTACATCTACGTGCAAAGCATACTCGAGTAAGAGCAACCGATTCACTACCCGTTCCCCTCCGCCACTACTCACTCATTCGAGGGAGTTTTCAGCATAATCGTAGCGTCCTCAACGCTTATACGCTTCGGTCCGATCCGTCGTATCCCGTGAGGCCGGGTGTATAATGATGGTCATGCGCAAGTTTCATGCGAAGGTCAGTGATAGAAGACAGATTCTTCTCTAGGTATCCGCCAGGGGTCTCGCCACGTGCCACTACGAATCCATTCCCATTGTAACAGGAGCTGAATTTTGGAACATTTCTGTTACCCCGTAATTCAGATGGTTATCCACCCTCCCTCGTCTATGCAGACAGGATCTGGTACCCTAACCCTCGTGTGCCTCTGATAAGGCACCCGCCGCCCCATACCGACTCGAGGCCGACACGAGTACAACATGTGCTTTAGAGAGGTTTCCAAGCCCCCAGGGCTACACCATTATTTTACGCCCGGACATCCCCCCCCCATTGTAGACAAGGGTTGGGAGGGGTCAGTGAAGGAACCTGGAGTGAGAGAGGGACGTGGATGAGGACACGAGATACACCGTTCTTGGGCCCCAAGCCTTAACCACATTGTACCTCCCGTCGTCGTCGTAGCTCCACATTAAGTGGACTATAACTCCCTGGGTGGATTGAGTTAATTACAATACAAATATTGCAAAATTTGCCCTACAGAGGTTACTTTACTTAACGTACCTATTCGCTGTACTCAGGACTAATTATTGTGCATCGCAATGGAATTTCTCAATAATTAAAATAATTCATAAGCCAAAATACTTTCTTATTTCCCAAATTCCTATAATCCAATTGGTTTCTTATCTATCCTTGTCAAAATTTTAGAAAAACTCTTTCTTTGAAGATGATTGACCATAAGTGAAAAGAGTAGATGGAGGTATTGCACTATACCTGAAAGTGGAATTGAATAATTAAACCTTTGTCGCCGTTGGTAAAAATATTTTTGTTTATGTTCATTTTTGAGTGTCCATCCATATAATCCCCCACTGTTTTCTACTTTCCTTCATTAACTTTTCCTTCATGACTCTAGGACATTTATTGCATGATAAGTCCAGCGAAGGTCCATCGAGGCATCCTTCGAAATTAAGACAACTTTTCCACTTCCCTGTAATCCTTTGTGCTTTCACCTTTCAAATTTTCAACCAAGTTTGACGTTTAAGTTTTTTTTATTGTGCTCGAATTTCTCACAATTCAACGTAGTTGTGCTAGTAAATAGTTTTATGAGTTAATTGACGTTACAAATAGACTAGGAGAATTATCAAAATGTGGATGTAACTTTTTCTAAATGTCTAAAAAGGCACATGGTGTTCAAAAAGAAATTATTTTTATCTTGACTTTATATAGATTTTTCTGGCCTACCGAATTATTGGCTTCATTTTGGCAAAATTCGACATATCCAATTTTCCCCCGAGATGCAAAATTAAACTGAAATTAGGAATTCTCATAAAAATTAGCCATTTCAAATGCAATATAAAAAGGTTATTTATATTGTATAAATTTGTTATAATAAAGTTATAATAATAATAATAATAATAATAAGGGACAAATTCGATAAAAAACTAACTAATAATTGTCCTAATGTCTGAATTTTAATATATAATAATAATAATTTTGAAGATTGATCGCTATTAATATTGGTGATAAAATGGTGTAACTTAAGTTTTCTTCGTTACATTTCACAGGTGAAAATAATTTTTACTGTTTAACCCACACAACATTCCCGTAAATCTGACCCGACAAGATTTTTCAAAATCAAAAGATATTTGGTACGATAACCGCATTGTAAATATTTAACTTTTCAGCCTCGGCATAAACTAAGAACTTCAAAAATACGGCGAGAACCCTTTCCGGTGATCAGGGTGAAAATAAGTGCCAAACTCATTTAACAGTCGTTCGGCCAACTTGGACCGTTCCGGACACTAAAAGGAAAATGTAGACCCGCAATTTCCAGGATCCGGGCCCCTTCCTGCCGATAAACCGAAGACGTGCAAGGCTAAATAACTTGTTATGTAAATGCCGAGCATGGAAGATAAGAAAATCCAAGTTTAGCATGTCCTCTCTGGCATATGATGCCATGTCTTCACCTAATTTGTCGTACCGTGCATGCGAGGGTCACATTACAAAGTGGCCGGCATTATTAAATCCGGGAGATAATCTCAAGATATTAGGGGAAAAGGCGATATCAAATTGATTAGGAGACTCTTTCCGAATTTTTGTTGTTTTTACAAAACGAAGATTCTTTCGAGGCTCGAACGCAGCCTTTCACGCCACCGGCACCAATTGCATTACACGCTTAATGCGGCGTGCAACTCCTCGGCCTCGCTTTGCTCCAATTACACTGTAATAACCGGACTAGAGCTGGGAATAATGCTTACGTATTATTTAAATAAGTAATAAAAAAATTTCATAAAATAGAATGAAACCTACGTTTACTTTATTTAAATGTCATAATTTGGTTGGTTTACATTTCACTTATCAAAATGTCCCATTTAAATGTTTGTGGAATCGCCCTCGAATGCCACTCCCTGAAAGAGAGGCAGGACCCGAAAATGAGTAGTGAGTGGAAGTAATCGTTTTTTGTCAATGCTTTCTCAATAACGGTAATGTTCTGTTAAATAACCAAAATATAATTTGTTATTCAGCGAAAAATTGGCTAATCTAACCTCACACCAATCCCAATGAAAGTTAGCCATCATTAATTCTTTCCTACACTATTCAGTTCAAATTTTTTTGGGTTCGCAACAGCAGAGGTCTTATAAACCGTCAGGGTGCCGGTGTTTTTGAAAAAAAGCACATTTGTAAGTATGTCGAGTTCGAATGCAGGGCCGTTTAATTAAATTTATTTGTTATTTACAACTAGGAATAGTGTAATAAGTAAATACTTACGCTTTATGTTGATTATGCGTTTCGATCACTTGTAGAGATGAAGTTCAGTGAGAAAACTCTTTCATACTGAAACCTCGCCAATCTTCACTCACTCAAAAGTGCGACTTTTCTTCTATCATCTTGGCGCATTTTCTGGTATGATTGAACGTGATAATTGACATTCTAGTCGAATATCGTGGATGTATATTTTTTGAAATGTTTCAAATCGGGATTTGATTAGGACATGTAGAAACGCGATGTGAAAGTCATTATGAATAGTATGTTTTGAAACATAAAAAGGAGTATATGATGTTTGTTGATCGACCTGCAGATAATCTATGTAAAGTTTCAATCTTCGTAGAGGTCATTAGACAATTGAAGAAAGAAGAAGACTAATTGGGTTCTCCAAGCTTTCGGCAATTTATTGTGCCATCATCAGGGCTTTCCCGAGAGTTCAGAAAACGAATAACATGGAAAGCTATTGGAAAAGCGTTTTGGGTTTAAGGTTATGAAGCACATGGCCAGCATACTACATTTTACATAGTGAAAATAAACATCTCGCTAATTAAAAATCCATATGACTAAAGGTCCAGCAATTTTGTTCTGACTAGCAATTTCTTACAGGTAACATTTATGATCACAGAGAGTATTTTTGACTAAAATTATAGCTATTTTCAGAAACTATGTACAAAGGATTGAAATTAATGAGAGAGAGAGCGACAACACCGTCGCCTCAGGTTGGACTCCAAAGCTTGGTGAACCAAACAATTAGTCTTCTTCTTTTTCAACCTGTCTAATGACCTCTACGAAGATTAAAACTCTACATAAAAAGGAGCATTTGACGGAGAATTTTCGACTGAATAAATTGAAGACGTTGGGAATTGGAAACATTGTTTGAGCTCCACACTTCAAAGAGAGGCCATATTTTCTGAAATGTGTATTGAAAAAAATAAATAGGCTAAGTGAGCTTCCCTTAGGAACACTTGCCCTAATGCGTAAATAAAGTGAAAATTCAGTTCCCAGACGCACTCGGCAAAATTCCGATATGACCTCAGTTTGGAATAATAAGCTTCAGAGAGGATGTCCTTTTGTTTCCAGAGTAAGCCCAAGATCTGTTCTAAATCAAGAAAGAGACCCAAGCTGCTTTTGTTCTAGGCGATATTGTCAACAACACGAATAAGCGTGCTTATTACTGAACTTATGATCGGGAATATTATTGTGCAAAATATCCCAATCGCCCATGCGCTCTCGCGATTCAACGTTGGCACATGATATTCACCATTTAATACAGAAGACCACATTATTGAAAAAATTCCGCAGGACTTTAATAAAATCTATTTGGTCTAGTGGCTGTAATTGACCAATAGGACGTTTCTCTTCCTCGTCATAAACCCTCATTTGAACGATCCTTCCTAGCTCGAGTCCCAAATCAGTGGAATTCTCTTCCTTTGCCAATCCGCAAAGCCGCCTCCTATACCTCTTTTAATTCCCCACTGTAGAAACACCTCGCCTCCCTCCAAACAGAGCCAACATAGTCCACAATATTATTAGGTCCTTTTACTACATAAAAAAGCTTGTTTGCTTCCTTTTCTCAATTTTGAAGTTTACATTTCGTGATTATGATCGCACAGGACAGAGTATTAATTATTATACTGTTTTCCCTAAATTTTTATTATTGGTACTATTATTTCTACTATTATTCTAGTATTATTATTTTTTAATTTATTTTTCATTTTTAATAGAACAAAAATGTATAGTAATTACAAAAGTCAATCCTCTCTATCTCTCTGTCTCTCTCTCTCTCTCTCTCTCTCTCTCTCTCTCTCTCACTCTCTCTCTCTCTCACTCTCTCTCTCTCTCTCTATCTATCTATCTATCTATCTATCCACCTCTCTCTCTCTTTTTCTTTCTCTCTATCTCTCTGTCTCTCTCCCTGGCTTTCTCCNTCTCTCTCTCTCTCTCTCTCCAGACAGATGCATGTCGTTTCAAAGAATAATATTGATCATTTTATTTTTAAAACACATAGAGTTAATAGAATAAATAGCTAAATATATTATATATGCTGCACGTTATCATTAGTTAAATTATTAAAACTCTAAATTTCATTTTAAACGTTTTACTCTTTAAAAAAATATATATCATGTAAAATTTATTTGTAATTTTTAATTGTTAGTTAACTTTAAAATAATTATTTTGTTAAAGATGATCTTTTCTTTTATCATATAATAATGGTGCGTCAATTTATTGATGATGATGACTACAAGGAAGTGGGGTTTTTGATCACCCAGGCCTTCTGGCTTATTGTATTTTCCTAGTTCCTGTTCAGTGCCATCGACTCGAAGTATTAGGTCATGATTGTCGTTGCTGCAATTCCATGCTCTGGGTTTTATTAGTATTGCAGGGTGTGTCCATAAGCAGTTGCTGCAAATTCGAAAATCATATGGGCTGTTTCTTCCTCCTCATTGCATTCTACATGCATACAGATGAGCTCGTTATTGAATATGCCCATGTTGTGAACATGTTTTCTAATATACTTTTCACTCCTCTGAGTTTAGCACTACGTAACTGTAGCAGTGAATTTTCCAGTCTTAACATAAGCATACATAACATACAACATGCAAAGGAAAAATTCTAAACTTTAAAATCCCAATATGTTGTTGACTTAACCATATTTGTCCCCAGAGAGCATAGTTAATCTACTGAAACACCAATTATTTTAAACGTAGGGGTGTTTTATCCGCCAATAGAAATTCTAAAAATTTAATAACCTATATAAACTCAAGGTTTTCTTAGACAGTTGTTTTGTGTTTAGAAAAGGATAACAAATTTTTCAAAAAAAGTGTTTTGAAAAATCTTTCCGTGAAACAAATACAATATATATTTTTTAAGTTTCTTTTTCAAAGTTTATCCAAGTTGCTCAATTGATCGCATTATGTTTTTGGCATTCCAGGCAGGAGAGAAGCAGTGCCCCAGCATGTACAAAGAAGTATACTACAAAGGTAAAAATCATTACTAACCTACAAAAACCAGCCTCTTGACTTTAATATCAGTTGTCTTGAGTTGATTCTCACGAAATATCGATTTTTCAGCTAACAGTTGGAAGCTGCATTAACGCTTATGCAAATATAAATTCCTAGGAACATATGAGTATTAAGACTCTGCGATAACCGCAGTTGGCCTGGATTCAAAACTGTCATTGTAAATATTATATACACATATGAATATATATATTTATTTATTTATAACCGACAAAGAGATGTACTGTTTTAAATTATGTGTCGAGGCAAATCGATTTGCTATGTAGATGAGATTATAAAAAGAATTGAAAATTTATACAAGAAGAGGTTTCATGCCTGTTCTTATATAAAAAAATCGCTTATCGTAGATATTAAAAAATTGTATTGTCTATAGTACGTTTGTATGTATTAAAATGATAAAAAAAATAAAAGGGTTTTAATAGATTTTAGGATGGTTATCTTAGCGAGGCTTGTAAAATGATACATATCAAGTAGTCAATGTGTATATAAAATATATAAATATAGGCTTAAGATTTTAATTATACAATATAATGAAAAAGAATGAACGATGTTGGGAGTAACTGTTATGCATAACAGCCTTAAAATTTGTACGAGAAAAAAAACCTATAACCGATAAGTGATGACTTATATAAATAAACTGTCTCCACTATGAAAAGAACAGAAATAAATATAAAAAAGGCGCTCTTTCCAGATAGCTATGAATCGATCTACGTCAATCATTTTTTTCTTTAGTTCATTTTCTGTTAGTGATTGTATTTGAATATGTGATTGGTGTTCCTGGCCAATTTATATTTTGTACAAGAAGTGTGCTTGGTTGGGTAAAATAAACAAAGAAGTGAAAATATCGACTAGTTTATTATGTCCCTCTCCCACGTTTAGAGCAATCCATCATTTTATTTATATCCTTCAATGGAAGTTTAAACATTTTCAAGCGTATGATTCGATTTTTCACTCATAAAAGATAGAAATTTCTTTTTTAATTAAATCACACAATTAACAAATTATAAATAAGCAATCTTCTTAATCATGTACGAACTTTTTTAAAACTATTATCAGTTATACTGATGACCTACCGACCAACGAGAGACCACAATTTTGTCCTCTAACTTCAATCCAATCCAAGAACATTTTAAGCTTATCGAAGACTAGAGCAAAGAGTGAAATACAAGACTGAATGAAGAAAAATGTACTCAGCGAACGTTCAAATTGGAGAAAACAGTCTTGTTTTTCAATGTACATAAACAAAAAAGAAATACCGATTTTAATGCATGGCAAATACTTAGGGCTATAACTAGACTGACGTGGAATCCCCACACAAGACTTAAGACGCAACAACTCAACAGAAGACTTGGACAACTATGAAGATCTCTATGACCGAAATTTGACTTGACCGTCAGACATCAAGACATTCCTGCCTCCAAATTGGAAATACGGAGTGGAACTTGGGTTCTACAAAGCTATCCAGCGCATCCAATCTTTCTACTATAAAGTTCTCAGACAAATCCTCAAAGCTCCTTCTATGTCACTAACCTCACCATCCACAACGACTTCAACATCCCCTTTGTCAAAGAACTGATGCATTTCACACTAACCTTTCGAATCCATCCTAGCACTACTGCTCTTATTAAATATGCCATCTCTACGCATTCCCATCCCAAAAACCAGCCACGTCGCTTAACGGACGATGTTCTCGAGACCTCCTTGTTTCTTAATCCGTCACACCAGCACTGGCTGATTTCCCATGGCATCGTCCTCCGAGTGCAGTGCTTGCTTTTGTGCTGGGGTAATTTGAGGAAAAATAATGTGATCACATTTTTAATAAGTTCTAATATGTATAGGCTACAAGTCAAAAAATCGATAAATGATTTTCTCTTCTTATTACTTGGATTGACGAAAACGTTGCGTCAAATAAAGTAATAAAAAAAATATTTTAATTGGCTTTAACATAAAATTTGGTCTCGTACGCCTATTTTATTTTTATTACTATTTTTAACATTATTTTTCATTTTTAATAGAACAAAAATGTATAGTAATTAGAAAAGTCAATTCTCTCTATCCCTCTTGCTCTCTCTCTCTCTCTCTCACTCTCTCTCTCTCTCTCTCTCTCTCTCTCTCTCTCTCTNTCTCTCCCTCCCTCCCTCCCTCTCTCTCTCTCTCTCTCTCTCTCTCTCTCTCTCTCTCTCTCTCTCTCTCTCTCCCTCTATGTTTCCATCTTACTCCCTTGATATAATAGAAGAACGTTTTTAAAGATATATCTACCTATAAAAATAATTACATCTCCTTTCATTCAGCAAACACTGAATTTAAAACAATCATTTGTTTAAAAGTAAATATTTTCTTTTAGGAGAAATTATCTTTACACCACTTGCACATATGTTTAAATTAAATTATTTAACGGCTTAATTATAGTCTTTGAGTTTATAGAGGAGGGAGTTGATTACCAACAAAGCCCAGGCGTCAAGAGATGTTAAAGATTTACATTTTATCAATAACAAAATAGTAAAAAATAAACCAAATCGATTATTTGAGTTCAAAATATGCGACAGACAACAAAACGCATTAAGATTTACTTTACCATATACGTCAAAACTTATAGTGCATGTTGGTACAACTTAAACTAAATGGCTAGAAAGCCAATTTGCTATTAAAACAATCAACAGTGGGTTATGATTTATTTATATGAGTGATACTTCACCCATCAGATTTTGATTTATTAAACCGACTGTTAATTATGTTCTCACTCAAATTGAACGTGTTTATACATTAATCTTCAAACTAGATGGAAATATTAGTTTCCCATTATAACGAGGGATAATAAAACAGAGAGCGATGTTAACACAATTGCCCCTGTTATGTAATAGAGCATAAGTTAACACAAAAGGAAATTGAAATAGTAAAACTCTTCAGTTATAATGCTACAATCGCGCTTCACGTTGCTCTTGACGTCAGTTGCAAGCACTAAAAACAATTCCGCTTTGAATGGTGGTCATTCGAGTATAATTAAATGTTTACGTAAATTAATCGAACGGCTGTGACCGACAGGACTTAATGAAACGATTGGGACTTCGATTTTTCCTCGTTTCGTTCTGTCAGTCTCAGGTTAATGGGAGTTCGCTATAAAACTGAAACACGTTATTTGATGCCATCCGTCTCCCTAATTCAACCGTCCTCTGCCGTTTCGAGAAATGCAATATCTCCGGATATTGCTTTTTTTAAATGGTAGGTCAACTCCGTTTTTCCAGGGGACATTTGGGGAATCACACCGACCTCTCAATGTCTATGTTGTAGTGATAATAATTAAAGAAATATGATGCATTTATTTTCTTACATACAATGATGGATAAATTTAACGGGCCACTCAGTTTATTTAGTTTAAAATTCAATCCATTATCTTTCTATATAGTTGCTGGTAATTAGGAGCTATCCTACTAAAAATAAACAGTAAATAATGCTTTGTTTATTTTTTTGTTTACTTTCATGCTGATTAAACCAATTTGCATCAAAGTATAATTATGTCCTTCCATTCTGCTATGCCTAAAGATTGCTTTCAGTTAATCTTTTCCCTTCGTTGATTTCATTTGATATTATTCTTATTCTTAAACATTTTTTCAGTCAAACATTTGAGTAAACTTGGAACGGTTCTTCGGCACTTCTTCGGGAAAACAGTGCTTCACAATAGAACGCCAGGACATGGTCGACCTAGGTCTTCAGACGAGAGAAACGATAGATTCATCAATCATCAGGCTCTAAGAAACCGGAGCATTATGGGATATGAGATAAGAAATCTGATAAGACAAATCCGAAATAATTCGATTTCCTCCAGGACTGTAAAAAGAAGGATCAATGGAAATAACCTCAGGGCCCGGCACCCGGCTCTTCGATCTCTCCTTACCACAGCTCAGAAAATGGCGAGGCTACAATTCGCATGGGAATTGGACTTTGGAAAATTAGGGACGAGTTTCTTTCTTTACAAATGAGGTGAGCGTTGGTCTCAAATCTTCAAATTAAGGGCGTAATTTCATATGGAGACGATCAGGAGAAAGGTACGATCCAATCTGTTTGACTCTTCAGATGGCATTCCACGGTGGGTCTTTGATGTTCTGGAGTGGCATGTCGTTGGTCGCCCGTACCGAAATGGTTGTTGTGCGAGGAATCCTTAACAGAGGTACTACAAGATATAATCGAAGGATATATAGTGCATTGCCCCCCCCCACACCGGTGAGGTATTCTTGCCAATGCCAGGCTCCATAGGGCATGTATTGTGAATGACTACATGAACGAAGTTGAAATTGAGTACTTGGTGTGGTAAGTTCAGATTTGAACCGAACCGAACACATCTGAGACCAACTCAAGTGACCAGTAGGACGAAACCCAGGTCCTAACACCCTTGAAGAGTTGGAAACGTCTATTCTTGAAGAATGGGAAAGAATTCCTCAGGATTTTACTAGAAATGTTTTCCAAGGAATGCAAAAGAGTTTAACAGACAAAAAGGTTTTTCGCCCAATATTTTTTTTTAAGAATTAGGAAACACTTTATTTCAGAATATAAACACTTCTTTTTAAATGACTTATTTTTTACAAGAAACCTATTTTTTCGTATTCAAAATATGAATAAAGCTAAATACTTCAAAAATTTTAAAATCATTGCTTCACAAATATAACCAAAGATGATCTCTACGATACATCAAATTGGAGTGTCCGAGTGGATCGAGGTCACGATAGCTCAGGTGGTAGAGCAGCGGCGTATCTAGCCGAAGATCGTGGGTTCGAATCCCGCTCGTGCCATTGACTTTTTTATCTCGACTAAAAACCTTAATTAATCGTAATTTTCAGGAAGGTTTCACCCTTTCAAATCATACAATTGTAAATATTGTAAAAATAATTGTTTTGAACGTAACCAAATATTATGTACAATAACTGCAAAATTGTGTTGTTTTTTCTCGGCTAAATTTCAAAGCTTTGGCGAACAATTTATGAAAATAATAAGAAAATAACAGCTGCATTCCTAGAATTCAAAACAAAGTTCGCCGGTTTTCGAGAGGGTGACGGGCTGTGACCTGCGCCTTGTATAACGAAGTGTCCGCTTCCGTCGTACAAGTAGCATGCACTCCAGGTGCCTCTCTCCCAAAAAATGCAACCTATCAAATTAGTGATATCTATATTTTGTCCAACCTCACTTCACTCCTACCTTTATGAGCAACACTGTTCTTTTTTATTTTATTGCTTAAAAATGAGGATTAAACATCAATACCATGTATACATAGGTGAATGGAAGGTAGTGAATTCAAAAGAAAAGGAAAATGTTCCAGAACTCCTCATTTTCTCAATCAGAAACTGGCCAAGTGTTAATCTATACAGTGAAAGAACAGTGCTGCTCATAAAAGACCCCCCCCCTAAAGAGCAGATTTTTTATATTTTTTACAATTTTTTTATACTAATTTTTTTAATAAATTGCAGTTTTTCTCTCCCTGACAGGTGAGCATAGTTGATGAAAACAAAACAAAAACAGGCGGGTCATGGGTGCCCATCAATATTTCAAATGATTTTAGAAGGCCTCGTCTATACTGATGTTTTTGCAGTCTGGGTAATTTTGAAAATCGAAACAACCTCTAGCCCGCCCCCCTCGGCAGAGCACTAACTCATGCGATGTTTCAATTATTCTTCTGTGGGTTATTATGATTTTCTGTACTTTTAGATCAATAACGTTATGTTTGTCGATAAAAGAGTTTGAGAGTGATTGTTTCAGGAAAGTTAAAATATATTCACAAATTGAAAAATCTTGAACGGCAATGAAAAGGTTAAAAAACTTGGTTAGAAAATTAAATGACTTTTAAT